GTGCTCACGGGTTTTTGCATCGGTTTATAGTAACTCTAGTCAACGCAAAGATACGATCTGACGTTACAATGTATTTTTATTCTACCACATATAGAAAAGGACGGTTCTTATCAAGATTATATTGAAATTCAGATCCTGCCTAGGTCCTATCAGCATCTTCAGCAGGACTCAAGCCAATAATGCGTAATTAAAGGAAAAAACGAATTGTCGTCTAAGTCACAATGTGTTACGTGACATAGGAAGAATTGGCCTCTTCATTCACATTATTTTATAGAGAATTCCGTATCGATAGGGATTGGTGTGTTTTCCATTAAACTCAATATAATAGTAATGTTGTCGCACGCTATCAGAACCATGTTTCCTTTAGAGGTGTAGTCGTTTTGGCAGATCGTTTAACATTAGGGATAGTCTTATCTGGCTTAGGGGGTAACATGTTTACCCCTTACCCCAAGGTTCAACAGATTGAGTCCCGCTGCTAAAGGTGAAATCTAAACCTCAATTCACTCTGGATAAGAACCGCCATTCTTGAAAATGGCAAAGTGAAATTCATTTAAAAAAATCAAACGTTTGCTTTAAGGGATCATGGCCAAACTCAAAATCAGTCTAATACACAAGACAATTAAATAATATGAGCTTGAAAGTTATCCTTAAAATAAAGGGTTACAATTAGCTATATTAAAATTGCAATCAAATGAAACAAATTTGGTATGAAAATTTAGAGAGCATCAAGACCAAAACATATAAACTAACCCATAAATTTACATACAATTGAAAAAAAACTACATTAGTCCAACTGAGATAAATTTACCTACATGCATAGATAGAATTCTCTTAAAAGTTAGCTGCTATACAAGTATGAACTTGGAAATAGGGCAGTAACCTGGCGCTTAGTAGAAGCAATTGACCTCATTATTAAACTGGGAGGACAGAAATTTGTCATTTTGAAAGATCAAAACTAAAGCTAATAGTTATTATTATTAAGATTCAAAAACTCTATCTGTGTCAAGATATAAGAAGATGAATCTCCTGAGACAATACTCTTGTGGAGATTTTCATTTCAAATGAAAGTACCTAATGAATACATTCGTGAGTCGATCTAATCAGAAGCTGACGGCTGATTCCCGTTGTACTGCAGCTGTTTGGTTTTAATACGACGTTCATATTAATGCCGTCCTTGAGGTTGTGGAAAGCCTGACTTAAATTTCGCATCTGCCCTGCGACCCACTGGCACCCTTTTCCGTGTAGTGGAGCTTTAACATCGTTATGATATTCACAACTCGGGATCGAAGCTCGCTGAAGATACTAATGAGACTTAGGCGGGGTCGAAACTGCAGTCCAACCTGGATAAGTAGAGCTTTTGGGAGGCAAGGCTGAGCGAAATCCAATGCTATCGTGAGGCCTACTAATCTCACTGCGGGAATAAAGCATATATCTCATATCACATTCTGTGGTGGAATGTTCAATGAAGCAAAGTTATATTTATCATAGCAACCGACTAAATTCCTTTTTTTCGTTTAAAAGCAGGTTTTCGAGATTTCTACTGGCTGTCTCGAAAACCCGCTTCTAAAGGCAGTACATAATGCTTTCGTGTTTTTTAAAATTCATTTAAAGAGTTTGACACCTAAAGTTGCTCTGGTGTCATAGAACTCCATAATTAGGTTGCATGAGATACAAGGATTGAGAATTGGTTGTCAAATTGAATTTTACTTCTAGTGTAACCTAAAAGTATCGGGTTGGCTTCACAATAAGCTCCAAACAATTATGAAACATGAATACTGTTTTCAGCTGGTCTCTTAGTGGACAGATATCGAACATAACCACGATACAATGAAAATGCAAAATAGCATTCCATTTTAAAAAGAAAAATTATTAGTAGAATGATGTTACGAGGTTTCACTATTATAACTTCTCTTGGTTTTAATAGAAAGTATTGTCTCCTTCATATATTATGAATTACTCATTGATCAAGCTTTGGCATATCATAATGAGACATAAACAATAGATGCCTTCGTTAGATAAAAGCATTTAATTCCTAAGTCAACTACTTATAAATGAAATAAGAATTTTTAAAAATAATTTAGATGCAACCATAATTAGTTAATTTTACTTCTGTTCTGAAATCGCCAAATGGCGAACATCACCGTCTATATCAAAGCCTAGTGGAGGTATTCCAGATGAGAGTCCAGGAGAGGTACCAGCATCCATTTGCAATTGAGCTTCCTGCTCACTGATCCCAGCCGACCAGCCAACACGCGAGCCCGCCAGAGCTGTAATTTCTGCTGATGTGAAGCCAGCAGCCAAGGCAAACTGTAGATAGGAATGTGAAATATGAGGGAGTTTTACTTTGTATTATTTAAGATAATTAAACCCATTCGAATTAACCTTTATCTTCACAATTTGGTCATGTTGTTAGGGGCGCTAAGTTGAACTCATATTGTCCAAAATCCTCTACCACAGTAACTATAATAATTCCCAGCAAAGTATATTCCCTACATCTAAACAGTCTCACTACCAGGAATGCAAACATGGAATAGAGGCAAAAGTTTTTATGAAGCATTATCTCTACTTACTAAAAAGCATGTGTGCTCCGAAAAATTAATCCGGATTATCTGTTCAAGATGTGTTATTATGAATTTCTGTCCAATTTGAATCCGGTGGTTAATCTACCTAAGGTCGTTTGCAATGTTGCCTATTTTAATTTTTAATAAATAAGTAGAAGCTCCTAAGAGCAAAAGGTATGCTTTTATCTTGATTAGTTGATTCGGATTAGGTAGAGGAAGAATGCGTCTCGAAAACTAATTGTTATAGAGGTTATAAGAAAGTTTATTCCGCCTTATATGCACTGGCCATGGTAAATATGTAAAAAATTTGTTAGGCTATTCCTCTATGGTCTATGCTTTTTTCATCTTGAAGAAGGGATTTTTACTGGCCTCGCCAGAAGCAAAAAAAGATAGCTTTGGGTCAGTTGGACATCTTTTAGGTGAATCATCTTTGTCATTCTGTTGTATCCAAGACGATGCTGGTCGTACCTTGTGAACTTATGATGCTCTCACTCCAGAGAAGAGTAGCATTCTATATGAAGTTTAATACTTGTTTTTAGCCTGGAAGAGTCATAACCTAACTTTAAATATTCAAAAAGTAACTTGAGGATAGCATTGTATTATTATCCACATTTAAAAAGTATGCAACGTCAAAGTTTAAGGAAATTAGAGGCATGAAGAACAATATAGTGTGCCATTTATATGGTCGAGGTCTCCTTTCGTTGTATTTCTATACCGTGGTGACTGACAGGCATCACTACACATAGAAAATGGAAATTAACCAGGGGATTGGAAATTTTGCAAATATTACGAAAATAATGAAAAATAAAGATCAACAGAATACTGAAAGTAAACACATAACAAAAGAGAAATCGAAAGATTAATGGTGAATTATTTAACAAAAAATGAAGCAAGACCACCAACAGCCTACGGAATATCAAGGATATATAAG